TCTTATACACATCTAGATGTGTATAAGAGACAGGTATGGGGGTGTTCGTGGGGTTATTAGGGGTTCTGGACCCAAAAAAAAAAAAAAAATTGCGGGGTGCCGATGTCGGCGGGTCGGCAGCCGACCAGTCAAGGGTCGCCAACGGTCGGGGTGTGCAACACTGGTAGCCATCAAGAATTCTCCGGGCCAAGAACAGAACCAATGCAGCATTAAGACAGGACAGGACTGGTGGCTCAAGGACAAAGTACCAGATCTTTGTGGTCTGCTAGAAGGTGGCGCATTCTTGGGTGTGTGGAGAAGGTGGTGCACGTGTTACAAAGGGACGGAGAGCTGTATCGCCTATCTTGGTTCTCCTTGTATCAAAATTAACTTCTCGATACTTTTTTAATTCAGTTGTCTTTTTCATCTTGAGTTGATCACACAGCTTGATTGCTTGTACTGGGTTATTCCTATTATGCCTGCATATTATAGATGGAGGTCACTCAGGGGGAAAAAAAAAAAAAAAAAAAGAGACGGAGGTTACTCGGGTTAGGTTGGGCGGGGTAGGGGGCCATCTGGACGGAAGGCGTGGCGTAACTCCAACCCCCCTCCCACCCACCAAGAGGGCAACTTGACCCCCCTGATCCCAAGGGGGCACAGAATCCAATCTGGACTTAAGACACAGAAGAGGCCGCATAAGGCGGAGTCAGTGAAGAAAACACTTCGCCGAAGTCTCCCGCCCAGCTGCTGCCACCAACTGTTGATTCTAGCTCTTCACCTGAATAGAACACCTGGTCATTATAACTATCTAGACTGAAAAGTTAGGCCAGTCTCTCTCTTCTGTCTCTTGTGCTGGCTTACTTACTCCTGTTTTAGTATTTTATTTATATATATGTTGAAAGTATACTTAGTATAGAGAACGTTTATTGCTGTGCTCTGTAATCCTGATCCCTTGCTATTCTTTTTCAACAATTCCCCACAATGCCAAGGACTGTGTTAGATTTCATTATGTTTTCTCTTATTTGTTCTTATTTTTCTTTTTTTTTTCCTCCTTATGTTTTCTTATTTTTTTAATCTTTGTTATTGACAGCAGCTTCACATGGGAAAAAAAAAACAGCTGGTCGATAGAACTAGGGAACTTGTGAAGTGGAAACAGCATACCTGTTTTTTTAAGTATTATTTATAACTTCATATGCTCGCTGATGACCATTTATAATATATTGTCACAAAGTTATCAGAGCGCAAAAGCAAAAAAAACAAAAGGAAACAAAAAAGATATCAATTCATTTTTAATCTTCTTCCTTACAACTCCCCCTGTTCAGAACCTCTTGCATACAAGGCTGCCCACGTGGATGTAGGTTGAGCGGCGGCTGCCCCCACCCCCGTGTGTCATATCGACCCACTTGCACACAGCCAAAGGGCAAAGACGCAAAGAAAAGAGGAAGGGAACAGTCAAATACAACAAAACAGAGGGCAACAAGCAACAGCACCGAAAACGGATCCTAGATGACAAGTCCCACATGCAAGCACCGCCCCTCCTTCACAGGCCAAACGACGGGACAAGACCACCCAGGACAAAACTCTTGTCTGCAAAAAAAAAAAAAAAAAAAAAAAAAAAGAAACCCTATATACAGCAGATGGCCTTGTTCGTCATCAAGATGTGGGTATTCCCATTCCTAAACCATTCATGCTCTCATAATAGGCTGAACGACAAAAAAAAAACGGATGACTGGTCCCACATGAAAGCACCGCTACGCTTGCCAAAATAGACCGACTATATATATGTACAATATAATATATATAGAAGGATATAGTGTTTTGCTGGCTTGTGATGGGGTGTGAACCGACAGTCTGTAGAGTTTTCCATCTGGTGTGGGTGAGTGATAGTCTGCTTTGATTTTCGTCACAGGTACCTTGCTGAGGGCAGTGGTTGGTGGTCCCCACCTCAGGGTATCAGTTGCCGGGCAGTCTTTGATGCTTAACCACGACCGGGGTTAAGGTGGATTATCACTTACAGTGTAATCAGTTAGGGGATTCTGCAGATTGTTGAGGGTTCAGCCTCCTGATAAGTCGGTCAAACTCCGATGAAAGAGTCTGTCACAGCCCCTCGTTTGTTGTCCTATTCTCCCTCTCTGCCGACGGTTTACCAGGCAGTTCTGTTTGGCGATATACCTCGTTTGTTGTCCTGGTCGGCAGAAAGGGAGAACAGGACAACAAACGAGGGGCTGTGACAAACTGTTTCATCGGAGTTTATATATATATAGTCTACTGTCTCTCTCTCTGCCTACGGTTCACCGGGCAGTTCTCTATGAAAATATACACATAGATATATACTATTATATAGATATATAGATATATCAATATATAGATATATAGATATATAGATATATGTATAGCTATCATCAAATTCACCATTGGCACAAGTGTGCGTGTAAGAAAGTACTGACTGATACTGGGTCTTTGAAGGGCAGACCAGGTGCTTGCCAATGCCAGCTGGCCCGTGGAACAGGTAGGTGTTCGCCAAGTCGCCTTTACGGAGAGCCTCCTGCTTAACCTCGGAACAAAACAACAAGCGGAAACAACAACCAAACAAAGAAGGCGCAAAGGGAGAGAGAGTGGGGGAGGAGGCAGAAAAAGAGAACACAGAACAAAGCCAGAAAAGGGGCCGAGAAGCAAGCAAGGGGAGAGGGGAGAAAAGCAGCGTGAGAGGGAGATCAAACGGGAAAGGAAGGAGTGAGGATTGGAGGAAGAGCAGGACACAGAGACAGAAGTGATGAAATTAAAGTGAGGACAGGAGGACGGGGCAGAGAATAGGAAGGAGAGTAGGAAGAAGGAGAGGAGGGAAGATAGGAGGGAGGATAAGAGGCAGGACAGAACATAGGATAGGGAGGGGGTAGGAGAGAAGGTGGGAGGGAGGACAGGAGGGGGCAAGGGTAGGAGGGAGGGTAGGGGAGAGGATAAGAGACAACAAGACAGAGGGTAGGAAAGAGGGTAGGAAAGAGGGTAGGAAAGAGGGTAGGAAAGAGGGTAGGAAAGAGGGTAGGAGAGAGTGGGAGGAGGGCTAGGAGGGAGGGTAGGTGGGAAGGTAGGAGAGAGGGTAGGAGGGTTGGAGGGAGGGTAGGGGAGAGGATAAGAGACAGAAGAGGACAGAGGGTAAGGAGGGTAGGAGAGAGTGGGAGGAGGGATAGGAGGGAGGGTCGGAGGAAGGGTAGGAGGGAAGGGAGGAAGGAGAGTAGGAGGGGGGATAATAGGCAGGATAGGAGGGAGGGTAGGAGGGAGGGGAGGGAGGCTGGGAGGAGGGTAGGAGGGAGAGGAGGGGGGTTAAAGGAAGGATAGAAGGGAGGACGCGAGGAGGAATGGGAGGCAGAGGCGTGATGGAAAAGAGGCAGGGAAGAAGACGGCAGCAACACAGGAGGATTTCGGGAGGGTAGCATGAAACGTGGGACAGAAAAGACAAAAAAATAAGGAAGAAGTCAGTCAATGTCAGAAACGACCTCAAATAGCCCTCGAGAAGGAAGGCATGTAAAATTGCAAATGTATCCCTTTCCATCTGTTGTTGTTGTTGAGAACTTGCCTTCTTTTGGTCCATGTGTGAGTGAACTATGGTATACACACTGTGATATCCATTTCCATTTCCATTTCCATTTCCATATGTTGTTGTTCAGAACTTACCTTCTTTTCCTCCATGTGTAAAATTCTTCACAATTTCCCTCTCCTTTATTGTTCGTTGTTGTTCTTTGTTGTTTGTTGTTGTTGTCGTTTGTTGTTGGTTGTTGTTGTGGGGA